CTAACAGCGGCCTAAACTGGTGCATCCGTATTATACTTACGAATCAGTCATCACGTCGACACCCGCGTCAGATCATTTTTCAGTAGAATCGACGTCGTTCGTATTCAGAAGAAATCATTTACTTACAAATTCCATTCCTGTCGAAGCATCGCCCACTATCCTTCGAATTATTTTCACTCACATTCTTAATATCTATATTTTCGATACGATCTATGCACATCTAATATTTACATGTAAATAATACCGTTAACCTATAACAACGAGTCAGACTCGCGACAGAAATTCTACTCAAGATATGACGAAAATAGTTATATTAATAAGAAAAATTCATTCTAATCTGAACTTTCGTTCCAATTTATAACACTGAGAATTACTAAATGTAATTAATCTGTAAAAGAGTAACCTTTGTTACCTGATACAGTACTGAAACAGTAGACTTACGCTTAGATGCATAGTTATAAAAAAATCATAGGTTAAGGGGTTAAACAAGTGAATTCACAAAGAAATCTTCCCTGATCAACGCAGCGTCACCTATCAGAATCCTCATAACCAGCTAGACAAGCGATCTATAGTCTATCTAAATTCAACCGCCTCCCAAGGTCACTGCACCCACCGTCCCCTCCCCATCACGCATCCACAAACATACGTACTTACCCGAGTGTTCGCAAAAAGGCGCAGAGTAATGAAGTCGATTCTAAGAAGCTAGCCCGTGCAATAATCCCGTGCTACTCCATTTGATATTCCATGCAACCGTAATCATACTACCGCTGATTTTTCGCGAGGGACTAAAACCCAGCTAGAAGTCCAATTCATTTGAACGATTTTTACACACCGCGGAAGTGTGCATTTCCAACAGCGAACGTCCGACGAGGCATGTCCTCCTTCTGTATCTCGTCCACCGAACGAGAAGCGAGACCCAACGCATTTTCGCTCTGGATTCGCGGGAAAAGAGGATCGCAAATTGCCTCGTCTCTGCCGCGAATCGAGGATATTGCACGTGTGGTAATTTATTCAGGAGACTTTTTTTTTTTATCAACGATCGTCGCACAGTTGGCGTTAAATGGTTCCACGGGATGTGTCGCTGAATTTGCATCAGCAGCGATTTCGTCCGGTGAAACGATATTGGTTAACGCGCGCTCGCGACCGGCTCGATTAGGATAACTCGACCTTTCCGATCGTTTCACCAACCGCGTATTAATTCCCCGGCGATATCCTAACGATGCCTCAGCTGCCGCGTAATTAAGCGCCGCGAGAAGACGCGGTTC